AGCAGTTCAATCCTGACCGGCTCAATTTGACTCGGCCCCTGTAATGAGGAGCCAGATTGTTGGGGGAACAAAATGCTGATTCTGTAACCTGCTTAGAGGGGGCCGAAGAAGCCCTTGTGAAGCGGTATATAAGTCTAAATGATGGTGCTACTGAAGAACGGGTGCAAAAGGAGGGACCGAATGAAATGTGAACGGCAAAAAATGACCATCTATTTTGCCCATTTATTTTAAATAATGAAATTGAATGGTTGAATTGTCCTGGGGAGAGTTGGCCCTGGGAGACACTCCAGAGATCCCCTCCCTTTGGCTTCTTGGCTAACCGGTTCTCTCCCCCCTCCCCGGTCTTGGGAAACATCCGCCCTGAACATCCGCCGTCTTCTCTCTTCCAGTTCAGCGACCTGGCCTCCCTGTCCCCGGCTGTGCTCGAGAAAGGTACAGACCCCCTGCCTTTCCTCCACGGGGAGGCATCACCCAGCCCGTTGGGGTGTTTAGCCACCCCCGCCCCGGGCTAAGGCTGGGCCCATCTTTCTCCTTTCCCGCAGACGCCTTCGGCAACCTGGGCCTCGAAGCCGGCGCCCGGGTGAAGCCCCGGGTGAAGCGCGAGCACAGTGACCCTGGGCCATCCTTGCAGGAGATCTAGGCTGACCGGGCAGGCCGCGTACCCGCCCCCTCTACTCCAACTCCGCCGAGAGTGCCAAAGCTTTCCGAACGACGCCCTGTGAGGACTCCCGGCCCTCCCGGACGACGGCGTGCCTCTACGTTCCTCCTCCTCCTCCGCCTTCTCGTACTTACGAGTCTTCGCCAAAGACGGGCCGGTGTCCAGCAAGACAGAGAAGGCCCTCGACCGTCGGCCGGTCCTTCTCTTTGCAAGGACACCCCCCCCCAAGCAGGCCCACCCCCCCGTCCTCCCTCCTGCTCTTATGCTTTGCCTTAACTGACTCCTCTCCCCCAATGGGGAACAACCTGCCGAGGTGCCACTGTGACCCTGGGGCACTGATCGATTCTGCACCTGGCGAGGGAAGGGGAAGGGCGGCCTTCTGGCGTCCACTCCGACTCTTGCTCAATAAACGGACACTTGTGGCCAACCGCCAGCATCCCTCGCTGTCCTTCCATTCCCCTTCGCCTGTCGCCTCGCCCGACTAAGCGCACCGCCTCCTGGGCCCTCGGGAGCCACCGACGCAGGTGGGATATCCTGGGAGAGCTTTTTTCAACCCGAGCCACTTGAAGAGGGCTGGATTTTCACCTCCTAAAATCCCCCCCTCCCCAGCCAGATTGAGAAATACCGGTAGTCCTCTACTTGCGATGGTTTCCTTTCGCGACAGTTCAAAATTACCCAATGGCCATTGGGAAAAAAGGGACTCTCGAGACCTTTCCCCCCCCCCCCGGCCTTCTGACCGTTGTGGCATTCCCCACCATCAGGGGATCCAGCTTGAGACGCTTGAGGCTGTCCCCGATTCCTATTTATGATGGTCCCAATGTCCCAGATCATACCCATACCCTCTTCCAACCTTCTGCCAATCACAGTCAACGGGAAAGGGCCAGGTTCACTTAACAACCGACCAACTTCAGTGATCCACTTAACAATGGCAGCAGGATGGGCACCGAAACTCGCTGAACAAGTGTCTCTAAATTTTGGGCCCGGCTGTGGTCGTTAAGTCGAGGACTACCGGTGCTCCCAGGCGCAAACAGTGACTCTGTTGGCAGAATGGCAGCAAACTTCCCAGAATTCCCCAGGTTGTCGAGCCAGGATCTTCCTGCAGGTTTCCCCACAATCCTCAGCAAGCTGGAAAGGCCAACCCCAGCATGCCACGGTTACCTCTAGGCGCCCAGGGGCCCCTGTGAGAACTGCCGACCCTGTTTATAGGTTGAGCTTTTCGTCGGCAAACTGCACACGGCTTTCAATTGCGGGGGTGCAAGTTACAGCCGAAACCGGGGACCCCGAAGTGACGTGCTGCGCCAGGAATGCAGCAGTGGTGGGTTCCGGATCCCGTTGCAAAAGGGTACGGTTGCAACAGGGCCCGGCGTCCTCCCCATGAACGTGCACAGCGCCCACACGCTACCTTCCAGTGACGCTTCCGCGATGCTCCAGCTGGTCAGCGGAGCGTCGCGCAGGTGCTATAGGAGGTGCTCTAAGAGCTTAAAGACAGGTAAGGATTACAGGCGGGAGGGTGGGGCCTCCAGAGCACCATACTGGAACAGTAACCGGTGCTCCGGGCAGTCACCGGTACACCCATATACCGGGGCATACCGCCTACAACCCACTACTGGAGTGCAGCAACAAAGCGGCGTGCAAAATATTGCTGTCGTTTATCGTTTAGGTGTGTTTATTTGTTCATTTGTTTGTTTTCATAATTGAGATAATAATTTAAAAGATTTAAGCAGCCCAGAGAACCAGTGGTGAGAATGGAGTATTGCAGGCTAACTCACTGCCAACTGCCAGCAGTTCGATCCTGACTGGCTCAACCTTGACTCAGCCTTCCATCCTTCGGAGGTCGGTAAAAGGAGGTCCCAGATAGTTGGGGGCGAGAGGCTGACTCTATAAACCGCTTAGAGAGGGCTGGGAAAGCCCTGTGAAGCAGTATATAAGTCTAAGAGCTAAGTGGGAAGGAAAAGAGGAAAGGAAGGGAGGGAGGAAAGGAAGAAGGGAGGGAAGGAAAGGAAGAAGGGAAGAAAGGAAGGACGGGGGAGAGAGGGAAGGGAAGAAAAAAAGGAAAGGAAAGAAGGGAAGGAAGGAAGGGGCGAGGGGCTGACTCTATAAACCGCTTAGAGAGGGCTGGAAAGCACTGTGAAGCGGTATATAAGTCTAAGAGCTAAGCAGGAAGGAAGGAAGGAAGGAGGGGGCAAGAGGCTGACTCTGCAAACTGCTTAGAGAGGGCTGTAGAGCACTGTGAAGCAGTATATATATCTGAGCGCTACTGCTATTGGCACGGGTGGCATATCAAATGAAAAAGAAAAAGAAAGGAAAGAAAGAAAAGAAAGAAATTTGGGGGGGAATGAATGAATGTGTCCGGGTTCCAAGTAATAAATCCATTGCAAGCAAGACCCCGAGGCACTTCAGTTCCTCAAAGTTTACCTTTAATGGAAGCATCCTATTGGCACATCTCTGTTGAAAACCGACATATCTGGAAACTCCTCATTCAAAGACAACGTTTGAGTGAATCAATGGATGAATGAAACTTCTACGATATCCCTGGGTGGCTCACATCAGCCACACGGGAAATTAAACACGGCGAGAATATTCAAACCATCATGCACGGCGCTGCCATTGCACTCCCACGCTGAATGCCCCCCACCAGGGTGGGGTCTCCCTCCCCGGCACATCCAGTCAAGCTCCACCTGTGGCGTTAGCGGATTAAAGGCCGTTGAGAGTCCTTGAAACTTCCCTTGAGTGATAAAATGCCCCATTTCCCAGATGGGCCCATGGGAACTTCCACTTGGATCCCTCTACCAACCCGGGGGGGGGTTGGACTAGATGTCCTCGGGGAAGCGGGGAGGGGTCCCTACCACTCCAGGATTCCAGGGCAACTACAATTCCCATGGGTCACCCAGGATCCCGTGAAACTGAATCCGACCAACAGAAAAGAGAGTCACACACATCGCGGGGCCCGCCACGTTTCAGGATACATGTTTTTTTTTTAATGCACCAGATTTATCGGAATCCAATTCTCTGCCATCAAAGATACGTCCAGGTTGCCCTCTCCTGCCCGTCTCAGAGGGCCAGCAGGGTGGCGTTTCCCTCCAGAGTCTCCCTGTTGCCCCCCTGCATGGATGCCCGTTCGGGTTTCCTGGCTCTGTTGCCGGGGCCCAGGTTCCTCCTCTTCTCCTCCAGGCCCGCGGGAGACCGGAGGAGTCTCGGGAGAGGCGGCGGAGAGCCCAGCCTGCTCTCCCAGGGGGGGCCCTCCCCGAAGGAGTTCACATCGTAGAGATAATCCAGACTGGTCACGGCGCTGAGGATCTCCGGCACGCTGTAGTCGAAGGAGAGCAGCTCGTCCGGCAGGTTGAGGGACCGGATGTCGCTGGATGAGTCCTCGCCGGAGAAGCAACCCTCCCGCATGGCAGCCTCCCCCGGAAGGGCGGCCTGGCCCCCAGCGCCCATCTCGTCCAGGGGGGCCTCAATGTCCGAATGGATGGGCGAGCAGTCAAAGAGCTTCATGGCATCTTCCAGGGGTACCTGGTCCAGCAGCTGGAAGGCCTCGCCCGGCTCCTCCAGCAAGGGGGTCTCCCGGGGCAGAATCCCCTCCAGGTTGACGCAAGGCTCCAGCTGTTCCATGCCCCCGCAGGCGACCGCCTCTTCAGGGTGGGCGATGGGGCTCAGGAGCGGCTCCCCCATCCCCAGGGGGACCTCGCTGACCTTGAAGTCGACTTCCTCTGCCGGGAAACCCTTGAAGACTGGGTAGGCCAAGCCGGCCCTGGGGTCGAGAGGCTGGTAGGGGCCCACCTGGCTGTGATGCTGCTGCTGCTGCTGCTGCTGCTCTTTGAGACTCGAACTTGGGACCACCGCCAAGAGTTTGTGCTCTTCCACGGGCATCAGGCTCTCGCCCGGCAGATGGGGCACCTCCACAAATGGGGGGCCATGGGCCAGGTTGGCCACGAAGCCGACGTGGTCAGTCAGCTTGCCGGGGGACCCCTCGGGTTTGAAGAAGGGCATGGCAAATGGGGGGTGGCCAGCCACGGGCTGGTAGGCTGGGGCGTAGGGCAGCGGCTGGACCGAGCCCTTGAGGTACTTCTGGCTGTCCAGGAGGTAGGAGTTTTGGGGGTTGGGCCCACCGGACAGTTTGTAGACCGAGGGCTGGACAAAGTTGGCCGTGGCCCACTCGATGCGGTAGATGCGGGGGTCGAAGAAGCAGCCGCAGGGGGCCATGTGGAAGCCTGCAATGAGAGGCAAAACGTCACGAACCGCCAGAGGAGCTCCGTCCAAGGAGGGCCCAGCCCCAGAACCCCTCCAGGCCTCAGCCCAATTTCCGGGGTGGGGCTGGGAATCATCCAAAATGGCTTCCCTCAGGGCAGAGATGCCCTGAAGTCTGGGGAAGGCCTTGCCCGGCCAAAGCATGGCACAGAGGCCCACAGGTGGGGCACAGAAAGGATTTATGTACAAGGAACCATTCCCACATGCTGCATTGGGTTGGCACAGAAGAGGGGCAGATGAAGGATGCAGAGATACGGAGGGAGGGAGATGAGAGAGAGTGGGAAAGATGGAGGATAGATGAGATAGATTAGATAGATAGATAGATAGATGATAGATAGATAGATAGATAGATAGATAGATAGATAGA